CGGACCGGCCGCCGCGGGATGGGCCTGAGCGCCGTCGCAGAGATGAAGGGCCGGCTCTGTCCCTCCAGGTTCCTCCGATCCCGCCCCAAACGGGCCTCGAGGACGGCAGGTATGGGGCCAGATGACAGTCCACCTGCTCCGGGACATTCAGCTGAGCCCCCGTCGGGGTGCCGCAGGAATGGGGCCCCTCCCCGCCGAGCTGCTTGGGACCCGCCAGGACGTCTAGGTGGTCCTAGGGCTGTGGGATCCCCAGAAACCTCACCGTGTTTGTCTCATGAGCCCTTCCTGTAGACGTGTGTTGGTTGTGCGAAGTGCCTGTTAACCGAGACGAGTGAATGTTTTTCAATGATCGTTTATTACTTTAATCAAAGTGAAGCAGCCCTCCCGTGACTCGGTATTTCAGGTGGAGGTGGCACGGAGGTGGCAGCTCCCAGGCAGTAGAGTGAAGACCCTCTGTTCAGCCCTCAGGCTTAGCCCCAAGGTTTCTGCGATCTGGAATAGAGACACCGCTGACTTCTTCCCCCGCTCCCAGATTCTGTCCCCGGGAATTCCAAAGTCTCCCCTTCCCTCTCCAGCATCTTGTCCTACAATCCCCTTCATGCATCCAAAAATTGCCCCGAGGCTGTCAGGTTCTAACTAGAGCTTGCAGCCCCCCTTCACTGGCAAGGTGGTCACTTAAAACCTTCTTTCATGGCTGTAACCCCCCATGGAAGCAAATGTGGTTTAAATAGCTTTTTTTTTTTCCCCTTCCCTCTTCTTGAAATAGAAGGATCCGTGGGATCGCAAGCTTTGGTCCAGCTCTCGCCCAAGCAGCCCAAGCAGGGTCCGTTAGAACAGGGCAGAAGCCTCCAGCAGGGGTAAGGTTCTTGGCTTGGAAGGACTGGGTCTTTGGTTGGCAGAGCCTTTGAAGAACAGGTTTTGCTGGCAGTTCTGTAAAAACAAATCTTGATGTGGATTCTGTGCGAATGGCTTACCACGAATGGGTACGCAGAAGGTGGGTATGGTCCTAGCAACAGGTTGTGACCATGCCTGGGACTTGCTGGAGGAGGTGTTTCTTGCAGTGATTTCTAGCCGCAGGCCTTCTCCAGAACCTTGAGAACAGAATTGCTTTGAAGGGCCCTTACAGTATTGCCAGTTGGCAATGATGCAACCAAGTTCCTCGATTCACTTAAAAACACAGTTTGCTCTTTTTTTAATATCCTGAGGGGTTGAGAATTTCCAGACCTGTATTGAAAATAACAGTGCCCTCCCCACCCTCACCATGCACTGTACTTCAGAGAAGAGTTAAAGCTGGGGAAACATAAAGAAAATGCCCTTTTGGATTGATAATGTACCAGATAGACACATAGGCTTTCTCATTTAGCCCTCTGGACAACTCTGTGAGACAACTATTACTGTCTCTATTTTATAGTTAATCAAACTGATTTCAGACCGATTAATTTACTAGCTCAAGGTCGGACAACAAATATCAGAGCGAGGTTTCAAAGCCGGGTCTTTTTGCTCTAATATATTTCACTACACTACCCCCAAAGCGTGTTCTTGCTCTCAGTTTCAGCTCTCTTCTTCAACTTTGTCTCACGGGACAAAATACACCGATTTCTGCCACATTACTCGCAGTTACAGTGTTGTGACTCAACGAGATTTCTCAGAAATATGGAGCTAATCATTGGAAGGAACAGGACTTCAGGGGGCTGGCCTGCCTCTGGCAGTAGGCCCTGGAGTGACAAGGGAGGGAGCAGGGGCCTCTTGCATTTCATTATAAGCCATTCTGGGCTGTTGTCATTTTTTTTGAAGCTATCTGCAAGTATCACTTTGATAAACATTTAAAAAGTATTATTAGCAAATAAAAAAATTCTGAAAGCTACTCATTGCTATAATTAGCATTTTAACAGCTGTCTGAAAAGCAGTAAACAGCAATTATTTTGTATGACAGTTAATGGTGTCATCGAAGGAAGCTTCAGGGGAAATGTTTCTTAGAATCTCAAACTAGAAAGATATCTTAAAATCATGTAAATGTGAAGTAACACAGAATTTCCAATGATTGTGAAGAAGTGTTATTTGTTAACTATATGATCACAAAATTCGTTTAGAGAGAAGGCAGTAGTTAACTTGGAGACCATACCCAACCAGCAGAGAGCGGAGTCAGATTCACCCCTGAGCTCCGAGAGTGCGGACAAGTTCACAAAGCAAGCAGCTGAGGTGGGTGTCACGAGAATTCTTGATCAGTCCTGGTGACTTCTCTACAAACTGTATTTTATTATTTTATTTAGACTGTGTGACAGGTTGAACTGCATACTGATTTGGGATGTTGGCTATGCCTTTTTAATTTTTTAAAAACAGCTTTATTGAGCTGTTTGTTGAGCTTTATTGAGAGGTATAACTGGCATACAGTCAGCTGCACATATTAGAATATACAGTTGGATAGGTTTTTGACATGCTGTACGCACATGCCCATGAAGTCACCACCACAACCAAAACCTCCTGTTCCCCTTGGCAAACCCCTCCCTCTCCCCACCTCTCCCCATCCCCAGGCAGCAGCTGACCTGCTTTCTGTCACTATCAATTGGTTTGCATTTTTAAGAGATTTATATAAATAGAATCATATCATATGGGCCCATTTTTTTGTCTGTCTCCTTTCACATAATTTTACACGATTATGTTGAGTTATATCCACGTAGTTTCACGTTATCAGTAGTTCATTCCTTTTTATTACTGAGCAGTATTCCATTGTGTGGATATTTATCTTATTTATTTATTTGTTCCTTGGGTTGTTTCCAGCGTTTGGCTGTTACAAGTGAAGCTGTTAGGAACGGTTGCGTCCAAGGCTTGGTGGGGGCACGTTCTCTCGGGCGAATACCTGGGGACATAATGGCTGCACCGCGTGGGATGTATGTTCATCTCTTTTCCAAACGAAGGAGCTGTGCCATCTGCCCTCCTGCCAGCGGCGTGTGCGGCCCAGTCCCTCCGCAGCCGCCTGAGCCTCTGGCGTGGGCAGGCTCTTTAACTTTAGCTCTCCTGATGGACATGGAGGCATCTCACTGTGGCTTCCGTGTGCATTTCCCTCATGACTAACCCTGTCGAACATCTCTTCATGTATTTCTTTGCCACCCACATGTATCTTCTATGGTGAAGTATCCAAATCTTTTGCCCATTTTTTCTCTTGGTTTGTATGTTTGAGAGGCCTTCAGGAATTCTGTGGATAGTACATCATCATATAGATGCTTTGCAATATTTTCTCTCAGCCTGTGGTTTGTGCTTTCATTCTCTTAACAAAAAGTTTTAATTTCGGTGAAGTCCAATCAATCAGCTTTTCTTTTATGAATTGTGCCTTTATTGTTGTATCTAAGAAATCATTGTCTAACCCAAGTACAAACTCTGTGAATTTGCTAAAAGTCATTGAACTGTATGCCTAAAGTGTGTGAATTTATGGGATGTCAATGATATCTCACTAAAGTGTTCAAAGAAACAGGTGAAAAGCCCTTTTTATTTCTTTGAATTCTTGCCCTGGCAAATGGTGGTCCTTGGCCAGGGAAATAAAGCTGGGAACTGGGAGGAGAGATACAACCTCGGGGAAACCAGACCAGTGGGAAATTGTTGCAAACTTGGGGGAAGCAACAAGGTTCTCGTCAAGTGGATGGGCGGCTGGGTGGGCGGTTCCCGTCTCTCTGCCTGGCTCTGCCTCCCAGCATCCTTCCTCTCGGGGGAATCAGTGAGCTGGCTCCTTCCCAGCACCCACTCCTGGGCAAACTGAGCCAGTTTGGGAGGGATGAGGGGCCTGGGAGTCAGAACTTAGACTGCATTTGTATGGTGTTTGGTACATTACTGGAGTAGGAGGGACATAGGATATGAGCTCTCTTTTTTCTTTTTTAAGTTTGGGCAAAGCTTTGGGATTTCTTTTCTTTTTTCTTTTTTTAAATTATGGTAAGAGCACCTACCGTGAGATGTACCTACCCTCTTAACAAATGTCTCTTAGATGGACAGGCTCTCTCCCAGGCCTCTTTGAAGAGTATCAGCAGCCTGGGTCCAGGCAGGAGATAAAACCACACAGTAGGTTAAACAGGAGAAGTCTAACATGAAGAATTATTGAGATACAAGGAAACTCGGTATGGTCTCCCAGGCTGAGGACCAGGAGGGTACTCAAGGAAGGACAAACTTGGAAGGGGTTCGAACCTCACTGGAGAGAGATGGTCAACCCGCCGGACAGCAGGGAAGTTGGTTTGGCCAGGCTGGAGCTGGCCTCCAGTGGTGGGCAAATGCAACCCTCTGGAATGTAGGTGGCCAGCTGGCTCTCAGCAACTGGTGGTGTGGGCATGCAGGGAGGGGGGCGACCCTCTGGGCCACAGGAGGGCCATACTGGGGACCTGCAGAGGGAATCAGGAGGCCAGCAGGGGCAGGAGGCTTTGGGGCACTGATTTCTTTGTCAAGAGGTCCCCAGGCCAAAGCTGCAAAGTTATGGGGACGGAAGGATCTGGGCTCAGGCAGAGCTCCACCAGATGTCCTCACACCCGCTACTGACCATGGTCCGGCTCACCCCAAGCCAGGCGGTGTAGAAGAGCCCACCCCTCTGGCAAAGTCCTCTAGCGCCCTCTATTGAGAAAGCTTAATATGGTGCTCAGTTTCAAAGACGAAGGAGTCCCTTCTGTCACTCATTGCACAGCATGTAGGAGGGCACAGTACATAGATAACTGGCCCAGTCAGCCTCGCTGCCTTTAATGACGAGAGTGACAGCCGGGGGGGGG